TATATATATACACACATATATACACACATAGTATATACACACACAAGTATTATATATAGTATTGTGTGTATATAATTATGTATATATAATGTATAGTGTGTGTGTATATAGATACACACTCACACACTAAATGAGATATAAACTGGAGATGCATATATATAAAAACTGGAGAGAGAGAAAGAGAAAAAAACCTGGAGATAGATAGTCTGTCTCTCTCTCTGTCTCTCTCTCTCTCTCTCTCTCTCTCTCGTTTATTGTTCCGGGTAGTGTTTTCCTTTAAAATGCTGTAGCCTCTTAGTGTGCATACTAATGCAGAAAACTGACTGCAAGTAGGGAGTGCTATCTGAGCTTGACAGATGCTTCTGTGTTTTACAGGGTTGACTTCCACTAGCAGTGAATGTATTCCTAAAAGCTCAGACTTGCAGTGTGATCCCATCATTCGGAAATACGGAGGAAAAAAACAAGGCCTTACTAGCTATACTCTAACTTTAGAAGAGCAGAAAAAAAATGACTATCCCATAAAAGGTCAGTTTTTGAGGGCTTTTGTTTCGTTGTTTTGTTGTGTTTTTTCTTTATTTTGACCAAACATATCACTAACTGTCATATAAGATATATGATGAGTTTTAGAAGAGAGAGGTCCATTTCTTATTCATGCGTATCTTTTCATTCTAGGCTCCCCTGAATGTAAGGGCTATATATATACAGAGTGTGATCAGCAGAGGACGGACAGCAGCCCCCTCTTTGGTCTGGATTGTGAAATGGTAAAAATATATGTGTGTGGCCTTACAGAATATAGTCGAGCAACCAAACTCCTACTAGCTATTCCAAAGTGAGCCAAGCACCTCGTGTATTTCCTAAACCACTTGTGATATATTCATGTCTGCTGCCAGTCCTTTCATTGATGGTACCAGTGCCAGTGCAGCCATGGGAAGGACTCAGTAAGTGGTTCTGGTGATAAGAGAAATATTATCTTGAGCAGTGCAGTGGCGAGCTCAGTTCTGCATTGGCTGTCAGAGCAGCAGCTAGATCTGCCAGACCCATCAGCAATGCTGCAGTAACCCCCGAGACGGCTGTGGAATTCCTCCTGCCAGCCCTTCCCAAGGTTTGGGAAAGGAAGGATACTTCCCTGTCACACATCTTTCCTGTAGGCATTACAGTTCTTCTGGCAGCATGCTGGGGTGAAGATTCCTCCTTTATTGCAGTTTTGACCTTGCAGAAATGCCTGTTTGGCATCAGCATTGAGTAACTAACACTACAACCTGGGCTCTGCTTTTAAATTAAATTGTACGTCTTCTTTGGTGAAGATGCTCTCAGTGACAGCTCTGCAGTGCAGCGCGCAGACTGATTTTGTGAAATCAGCACTTCTTTATAATGGTTTTCTTTGTGGTGTTGTGCTTGCCTGTGTGTTTGCTGTGTTTATGGTGGACATTTAACAATTAAAATGAAGCATGCTACAGTATAGAACAACTAGCTCTGAGTGGTAGATCTCTTTAGTTGAGTAACTCCTTAGTGATGCTGGCTGCAGCCAAAGCAATGTTAGCTAAGGTTTTTGAGTGGCAGCATCCTGCTGATTGAACAACTGCCTCTGCTTCTTCCTGACAGTGCCTGACTGCAAAAGGGAGTGAAGTCACACGTGTCTCTTTGGTGGATGCACAGGGTCAATGCCTCTTGAATGAACTGGTCAAACCTGAAAGCACAGTAGTGAACTACCGCACCAGGTGACTAGCACATAAGTTTCTTATCTCTTCGTCTTTAAGAGCTGCAGCCCTTTCAAATTAAACCTGTTACACAGGACCTTTCAGAAGGCTTTGGTTTGCACAGATATCTACTGCATTTAACTCAGTGTTAAGAATACAGTTCTCGCTATGTGATTAGAGTAATCAACATCATGTATACACTCTCTGCTATGTAGTGCCCATGTGGCTAGGCAGAAGCATTATCATTCTGCAGTGTTTTAGGAAAAGTTCTGTTACAGATTAATGATACCCAGTACAAGTTACTCTTCACTACTGGCTGTAAAATAAGAAACAGGGTAAGAGTACAGGATTGCAGGCTGTGTCTCTCTGCCCCATAGCTAAGTTTGCTCATCTGTAAAAAATGAATAAAGCAGTTCATCAGCTTTCACACACCTCTAGGGCTGAGCTCAGGCTTGTAACAAAAGCAGGAAAAAATCAAGCCTTGTCTTCCCTAAAACTTTTCCTGGCCTTATCCAGGAGGTGACGTGCCAATCCCCACAGGTTACTTGGAAGCATCTCCTTCCACCATCAGTTGTGCAGTGTTTCCTTACCTGTGCTATCTGACGCTAAGAACTGCATCACTTAAGAATAAGTTATACTTGAGAGAGAGAAACTTCTGAAACAGCTGTGGTAGCACTTATAGCAGTTTAATATACCTGCAGTATATCCTCTTATGTTGGAACAGAAAGCAGTAAATAGCATTCTGTCATTAGTTACACTGTTCATATTTTACATGCCCTGTTTGTAATATTCTCCGGTAGTCGCTGTTGCTAATGTGTTGCTTTTACCTCATTCAACTTCTGTATTGAAGATTCTCAGGAATCACAAAGAAAATGCTGCTTCCAGTGAAAACAACACTGCCAGACATCCAAACCAGACTAAAAAAAATGCTTCCCCATGATGCAGTATTGGTCGGTCATTCTCTAAATGCTGATCTTCAGGCTTTAGAAGTGAGTATACCTTGAAGAGTATTTTTCGCAACCCTGTGGTACTTATTTCAGACCTGAAAACTCTAAACAATTCCTCTTTTTATTACTGAACACTTGTTAATTGCTTTTTATTATGAATAGCCTTGTATTTGTAAGGATTTAAAAGAGAAAGACTCTCCTTACATACATAAAACTTGCAAGGGGCTGTTCAGACCCAAAAGGAGGGAAGGAGTCTGTCCAGGCATAGATAAAGTTGCAACAGAAGCTTTACCTCTCTGCTTCAGCCAGGTGCTTTTGATAGCTCTGTCACGGGAAGAGCTTAAGTCCTTCCTATATTTAATTTAACCAATCTAAAATGCCTGAATCATAATTAATCATTCTAACCCAATCTAGATCTTTCCAATAGAGTGTTAGAAAGCAGAGTTGGACTTGTTTCATTATTCCCATCTGCTCTCTTCTTGTGGACCCGTTACTCATCAGTGAGAAACTGACAACTGAAATAAAAAAGCCGAGGCACAGATAACAATGGAGTTACTGCCCAATTCTAGATGACTGCTGTTCTTAAATTAAACTTGTGATATTTTGTCTCCTCCAGATGATCCACCCTAGTGTTATTGATACTTCACTGCTTTTTGCCAGAAATGAGGGTCGAAGATTTAAGCTAAAATTTCTAGCCAAAGCTGTTTTAGGGTAAGATTATTACTGTGTTGTCGGGGGGGGGGGTGTCATAGGGTCTTGCTCTTCCACTAGTAGCATCAGAATTCTTGTTTTTTTCACTAAAATTTAAAAGAAAGGAGCAGGCTGTACAAATAGACATGGTAAAGAAGAATTTACTACCTGTTTGAAGCATCAAGCAGCATAATAAATTGGCTTGTCTTTGAGCAGGTAGGGATGCTGTGACCCAACCAGATTTGAGTCCTAGCAAAACTAGCTTTTCTGCAGGTCTGTAGCAGTACCAGTGTATTGAACTGTACAGCAGCAAAGACACTCTGGCTCACACAAGTGAGATCTGTTGCAGGTTGCAAGAAAGAAAGGCTAATGTATGAAAGTATGATTTACTGACTTAAATCACGTTCCTCAGTGTACTAGCTACCACAGGATAGTATGTCATAGCAATAAAGTTCTCACCATTCACATAATGAATATTAATACTCTGCAGCTCCAAACTTCACTGAGTTGGTGGTTGCCTCGCTGTCTGTGTGCAAATTGTGAGTTGGGTCATTGGTCAAGGAAGAAGTAAAATTGAAAACAGTCATGGATCAGAGTACTAAGTACTAGCACTGCTTCTGTCAAACCTGGTGAACAGTGTTTTGCTCAACATTGCAAAAACATTTCTTGCAGTAAGTTTTGGGAATATTTCACAAGAATGCTGCTGCACAGAACTGAAATTGTTTTTGGTGAGGGGAAAGCTACTTTGCCCAAAAAGGACCCAGTTTACAAAAGACAGGATGTTGGTCAGTGTGGAAAAACAGATGCTCTGCCTGTACACCTAATTTTGATGCCCTAGGAAGGAGATTCAGTGTGAACAGAAGCTTGGGCATGATCCCACAGAAGATGCTAGAGCTGCATTGGAATTGGCTCAATTCTTTATTGAGCAAGGACCAGCAAAGGTAGCTATATCTAATTAAGATTTCTGTCCTTAATTGCAGAACGTACAAGTTGTTGTGCTTGTGAAGGAAAAAAAATTCCTGCCCATCCTCTTGTTGATTTAAAAGAGAAAATGGAGCTGTGATAGAGGCCTCAATTTTGACAGCTTGTTACTTTCAGCATATATCCAGGTATCTTAATAACCTGGAGCATTATCAGTGTTTCAGTAGTCAAACACTGACGTGAATCAGCGTTGCTGCTGATCTTGAAGAGGGGCATTGGGTAAAGAAGGATTCGGACACTTCCAGCCTACAGGACTGCCTGTCATTTTTTGAGATGAAAGAACTGAGAGACCTTGTATGTTGTGGCAGTGATTCAGCTGGTTTTGAGTCTCTTGCTTGTCTCATTGATTTCGCAGAGAACTTTTTTTGGAGATGATTGCTGGTTAATGCTGCGAGTGCTGCATGCTTGAAAATGACAACAGAAAATAATAAGGCAAGAAATTGATGCCTGTGTTTCTTCACTACTGTGGAGTATGCCTAGGTGACTCATAGAGAAAGCACATGTTTTTTTGGTTAGTTACAATTAGCTGAGATGAAAGCCAATTACTAATCTTCTTCCTTCCTCAAGGTAGCAGAACTAAACTTGGAGATGCTTCTGACAGCTGAAAAACTGGCTGAGGTCTCACAGAGCAAAGCTGCGTTACAGCCACAAGGATGTAGGGTCCAGAAGCAGTTGAATGAGCCTCCACATTTATCTAAACCATGGTAATAAGAATGTCAAATGTGCAGTTTTTTCCTTCAGTTGAAACCTCAGTAAAATCAAAGAAGTGCATTATGCTTTTCAGAAGCCACTAGGATCTTCAGAGAGACACAAATAATTGTAGCATACCAATGAAAAACTTCCAGAAGTTGCAGCTTAAATTTTACAAAGCATTTTCTAGGCTTCTTTCGATGTTGAGGACAGGAATATTCTTTCACGTTTCTTTAATGAACTGTGTAATTTTTCTCTGACAAGCACTTCTTAAAAGCTTTTAATTCACCTTATTGATAACTACTGTGATTCACAGCTTCCTTCTCTCTGCTAGTTTTTTAGACTACTTGCGGGTGACTGGCCAAAACCCCCTCCTTTTGGGCAGACAGGAACTAGACTCTTCTGGCCTGTGTCAGAGTAACCTGAGTGCTTCAAACAAACAGGTGAATGGACTTAGAGTGGGTAGGTCTAAGCAGGCATCAAAGTAGTTCAAAGTTCTTCTTGTTCTGGGGGTGGGCAGATCAGTCCTATTTTAAAAAGCTGACCAACAGTACTGTTAGCAATAGTGTTAATACCAGATTAGCTAAATCCATTTTAACTTTTTGGAAATAAGCTTTGATCCCCTCTACATCCTCTCATGACTCACTAAAGAAGTATTTCTGCCTGAGGGCTTCCTTGGACAATAATGAAAATTAAAGTTGGGAATTAAGTTCAACAGCTTTGTTTCTGATCCTTTGCAGTACAATTGTCTTGTACCTCTTTGAGCGTTTACACTCTTTTCACTCCAGATTCTTCAGAGAGCCTTAGAAGATGTTCCCCTGTCCACATTCAGTGTCATTCAGTTCAGTTTGGGTCCAGAGTACATTGCATCTCACCTTCTTGCTGGACTTTGTGAAAAGGTACTATTTTTTTTTGAGAATAGTTTTAATTGCTGAGCTTGGAAAGAGACGTTATTTGTCTGGAGGCACCAAGTAGTTAGTTCCTTTGCTTTGTGAAGTTCCTTCTCTAATCTGTGTTCCTACAGGTGAGAAGCAAGCTGACTGACATGCTGACAATTTACGCAGGTCCTTTTGAAGAAAGCTTTTGCCTGAAGTCTGTGAAAAAAGAATTTGGGAGGTGTGGACCAATCCGATCTCTTACAGTGGTAACTGAAACGTACCAGGTGAGGAGCACTCAAAGCATTAAGCTTGCTGACAGGCATGGAAGGCCTGAGTCACCTCTTGGAAAGATATGGATTAGAACTACTGCAGTACAAGTTATTCTGTTTGGGTTTTTTTTTTTTTCTGGTGGTTTAGTCATCAGCTACAGCAATTCAGGGTATCTAAAAGCTGTGCCACACAATGACAAGAAGAAACACAGCTCATGTGGCTTAACTGTGCTGTTCAAGCTAGAAGACTTTGAGCATTGGAGAAGCTGAGATGCTTTTTGAGAGAACTGATATGCTGAGGCATTTAATGGCCAAAAAAAAAAAAAGTTGTTATTAATTGATGAGCTAATTGAAGGTTGTTTTTAATAGCTATGGTATATGGACTGTTACAATACGTAACTCCCAAACGTTTTTCTATTCTGTTTCTAAAAGAAAACACAACTTGATTGAGACCTGGCTTTTAAAAAGGGAGGGCTAATATGTCTTATTGATAAGCCTGAATATCTTACTATTCTATTTCAAGCCCTATGTCTGTATCCAATATGAAGTGCTGGAAGCTGCCCAGCTTGCTGTGGAAAGCCTAAATGGAGCTGAGGTAGCAGGATGCCGCATTAAGGTAAACAATGCAAATGGCAAAAGCCGAAGTTATGTTGAGGACAGGAACAGCCTCCGATACATCTCTTTTAACATCTATTCCCAGCATAGCGTCTGGGCAAATGCTGGCTGGTTGTGCCATTACCATCTCTCTGTCCCTGGACAATTTAGGGCCACTGGTAGAAAGGAAATGGTTATAGCCCTGTTTTTTTCCTTTCTGCCTGTCGGCAGAAGGGGGTTAGAAAGCATTCTGACCTCCAGCTGCAGCTTTAAAAGGAAGAGCCAAGTAACAGGGTGTTAGAATGCCATATACAAAGTATGGGGTTCTTAATTTTACAGTGTTTCTGCACTACAAACATGATCTCTCGTCTTTTTTCATGACTAATTAAGTTGGCCTTCATATTACTCATATTTTTTTCAAGGGAGGGGAAAATAGCTTGTCAACTTTCAGTAATGGGAGAAAATAATTTAAAATAGAAGCTCAGAACACAGAGCTGCTTAGGCTGACATGCTGTGTTCTGAATCCACCCCAGGTTCAGAGACCTGTCACTGCAGCAATGTTGGACTGTGATGTTTTGATAAAGGAACTAGAACTGGATGTGGAAAATGAAGGTGTGATTTATGTGGCGGGTCTAAAGAAGTCAATAACAGAGTTGGACTTGCAAGAAGAATTCAGCCAGTTGAAAGACCTGGAAACACTGTTCCTGCCAAAGGATCTCCAGAGTGGAAGGCACAGGAACTGCTGTTTCCTCAGTAAGTAGCATCACATACGGCCTGCTTATTTCCTTCAAATAAGCTCATTCAGCAGCCCTTGGGACTTTGCACAGACATAGCAAGAGCTACTGAAACTCATGTATGCTCAAAGTGATGGTATTTAAAATACTCCAGTGAAAGCATGTATTGTTTGGAGGAGCAGTTTACAGCTAAATATTTAAAAGGGAAAAAAAACCAAAACCAAATTGCTTAAAAAAAAAAAAAATTATCTTTACTTAGAAAAGTTTCAGGATAATTCATTGGCTCCAGTACCTCAACATAAGGGCTGGCTACTGTGAAGCTTCACAGACAAGTAATCACCTCTAAAAAAGGAGAACAACTGGATGAGTGCTGTTGCAGCTAACTGGCCGTTCTGTAGTCTGATGTTTACCTCTAGCAAGATGAGAATCTGCTTGCTGCAGGGATTTCAGTTTCTCATCTCATTACTGCTCAACACCTTTAGCCCTGCCCTACAGGTGCCAAGGAAAAGGGCAGCCACATCACTGCCAAAGCATGTTCCCCTTCTCTTTGTGTTTCAGAATTCCAGAAATCACAAAGTGCTGTGGATGCCCTTGAAGTTATAAATGGATGGACCATGAAGGGTGGCAAACTAAGAAGTAGGAACGCTCTTGCTTCAGGTCACCTCTGGCGATGGATTTGGCAAATGAATCACAGCAATGGGAAGCAAGGAGGAAACATCTTGTATGAGAAAATGGAGCAATTATCTGACTCTGTGAGTTTAAGGCTGTGCTGATGTTTGTTGCTGTTAGTGAGGAGGTACTGCTCTGGGAACCAGGAGTGATAACTTTGAGCAGACTTAGGTGCAGAGCTGCATGTAACAGAAGGATTTCCTTGTGCTGGAGCAGAGAGGCTGCCAAGGATCAGTTCCTACAAGGCAGGTTGGAGAAGTAATATTATGTGAGATCATGTAATGTTTGCAGGATACTCTGTAACCTTAAAAAAAAAAAAAAACAAAAAACCACCAGAAGAACAAACAAACCCAAAACCCCACACCAACAAAAAAAACCCCACCAGCATAGCTGATCAGGGCAGTGAGTGATGCTACACAGGAACTGAAGCCTGCCACTTGAGAGCAGATGGAGCACTGTACAGGTGTAGCAAATGTTATGGGAGTCAGAAGAAGTGACTAGTTGTATAGCCCTACAGGAACGAACAGCTGTCGTTGCAGCTCTCAGTTTTACTGGAGGAAGCTGCAGTGCCATCTGAGTAGGGCAGGTGGTTCTCTCTGCCGCTGAGCCGCTGCGCTGCCAAATGCCAGCCAGTTACAGAATCACTGCTGTCCTCACTCTCACACTGCCCGAGGGTCAGTCTTGCCACACGCGCTTTTAAGTGTGATTGTTACAGATCTGCAGATGAAATGTGGATTTTAATACTTATATTCTGTTATGCAGGAGCTAAAGAAAAAGGTGAAGAAGTTAGACCATCATATCAAAAAGCTTTATAGAAGTCTGCAGAATAACACCCTGTGCATTGTTCTCTTTCCTGGAGTGAACAGGTAAGTTGCTACCTATTTTGCAAAGAGCCAAGGAAAATACATAGCCAAATGTTTTTATCTTAATGTATTAAAAATTAAAACCCTGCACAAGGAAGTTAAAGCCTGAGAGAAGGCATGAAGCTGTTGTACTTAATTCAGTCTGACTTTCCTATTAAGCCAATAAAACCTGAACAGTAAGTTCTGCCCATAAGCCATGTCTCATCCAGATCAAAACACAAAGTGCTGAAACCACTTATGTAGCTGATGGTCCAGATTAGCAAGGCTGAAGTATTAAATTAATTATACAGGTCTTCTCAGTCCAACTACCTTCCCCTGTTGGATGTTTCATTCCTATTGATGGCAAAGTAAGTTTTAGGTGCTCATGAGAGAATTCAGCAGAGTTTCCACAGCAGCCATATTTTCTGGGTGGTTTTGATGGGGTGTGTGTTTGTTTTTTTAAAACCATCTAACTGCTGCAGCCAAGGCACCATCTACCAGTTGTCTTGTGGCACCCTGATGTACGTGCTTTAGCCATAGCTGATCAAGGAGGTGGTTCATCATACCCTCATTCTTATGCGAGACACAACTGGAAAAAAAAAGAACACTTTCACTGAGTCCTTTAAGGAAAGGGCAAGTCCTAGAGCTGAGTTGGGCTTCAGCATTAATACCAGGGATGCTTCCAGATGGGGTGGGCTTCCTGCATTTCAGAACCTGGGGCCTCAACTGCCACAGTCATTCACTGCTTAGTTATTAACCAGAAAGGTTACATGTTTCCCAGACAAGGCCCTAGTTACCGAGTACCTACTTATTTCAGCAGTCATCTTTCTGTTCTCTCACTGTGTCACTGTTCAGACAGTCAAATAAAGGTCACATCTACCCTTGCTTTTCTTCAGTTTCCCTTTAACTGAAGGGGTGCCATTCCTTGTGGTGACAGAAGACATGCCCTGAAATAGAAGCAGGGAGACCAAGCTGCTCTGCAGCATCTCTTCTGCCTGGCTAGGCAGCCAGGCCAGGTTCCCCTCTCTTAATTGCAAAGCTTCCTGAGAAGAATCATGATGGCATATGAACCTCTGCACCAAACAGTGCCCCTGGAAGGGACATGCATCCCAAGCCAACAGTATATTTAGGCTTAATGCCAGTGACAAACCATTTCAGTAAGGTTGCATGCCAAGAGCACCTCTTGGCATGATCTGCTTTAATTGTTCAGTTTCTAGTAACCTGAAAAAAAATTTCAGGTTGTGTTTTGGGTTTTTTTTTGTGTTGGTTTTTTTTTAAAATAATTTGTCTTAAGTAAAGATCATTAAGCTGTTTCACCCCAACCCCCCCACCCCCAAGAATAATAGCACACAAAATGAGACAGCAGCAATTCCTACCTTACTAGAGAAGAGCCATGTGTAAATGGTTTCTTGCACAAGCTCGGTATGAAATATTGCCTCAGTTTAAATCAGTCACAAGGCACCCTGAACCCAGGGCTAACCACTGCAGGCAGTTTAGTAGTGCAGGAGGTCCTTTGATCATTTGTTGCTGCCTTCTGGGCTATAACTGAGTGAGTGAGTTTTTACATTTCTGAGCAATCTTTTGCCTCTTCTCTACACCACTGTGTCACCTCGGTTACTTTGCGTACTAACCTGTCAGCCCTGTTGGAAAGGTTTGATGGCTGTGGCGTTACAGTCCATACCGTGTAGCTTCTGCAGCAGATTGACTGGCCTCAGCGGGTCCAAATTTACTTTTCAAGGCCCATCTCAAACTAGCCTTACTCGGCACGAGCTTGCCTGTTGGCTCACATCACCGAGGGGGATGAATCCCACTACCAGAACAGGTGGATTCAGGAGTTTGCATCCACAAGGAGCCCACAGAGCCTGGGCTCACATCTCAGGCCGCTGAGTGGGTTGGAAGGGAGCTCCATCCCAGGCTTGGAGAGGTTTCTTGCCAAGTGAGGTTCCTGTATTTCTGTTTCCCAGAGGACTGACAGTCCAGAGGAGGCTTCTTGATTAAAAAGAATGCCAAATTATTGTTGGGTGGGGGGAAGAAAAAACAACCAACAGTTCTTCTGTCTGCTGACCCTGGCCGTTGCAGGCTTCTCCCCACTAGACCAGCAGGCTTATGCGCATCAAGGCTAGCCTGAACAGAAGTAACCCACCTATTGTTTATGTTGCAGCACGCATGGATCACAATCTGGCCTTGGTCTGATGGAAATAAAAGATGACGGAGGGAGGAGTGCTTGTTAACCTGCCAAGTTTTTTAAGCAAAGTCTTTTGTTACAATATTTTTAATTACTTTAAATATTGATGTCTTTGTAAAGATCTCTCACCATAAGAACAATAGGCTTTCATGCTGTATCTTTTACAAAGTCTAAAAATAAAAGCTATTCAAAACATCTTAAAGCACAAAACCTTTTCCATTAACCCTTCTTGCTGTGGCAGTTTTCCTTGGCAGTGGGAGAGCTAGGCAAGCGCTTCGGACGAGCTGGGGGAGGGGGGCAAACTCGGGGGGATGTGGCAGAAAAGCCGATCAGCCTTGGCCTGCAAGCTGTACCTCAGCAAGTCCTTCATTGCCAGAGACTGATGTAACGGCTGGGTTGTCTTCAGTGAAACATTGCAGGCTGTAAGCCAGGAGGCCAAGTTAATGTAGTACCTGCAGCAGCTGCTCAGCAGTTAACAGCTATTCTCAGGAATTGTGTGGATTTCTGGAAATGTGCTGTGCCAGCTCCTGAAGCAGAGTCGCTGCCTCCTTTCCGGTAAAGCACTGTACTTCGTGAGTCATACTTCTTGGACGCTCTCCACTTTCTCCTCCTTCCCTGACCACCCCTCCACACCCCTGGCACACAAAAAAGAAGAAATAAAGAGAAGTTACAGGGTGGCTGTGGGAGGGGCAAGGGCCATTTTAAGGAAAGCACATGTCTGTGCGAATTTCACACATCATCGCTTTCAGCAGGGAGCTGGAAGCCCAGAGTTGCGGTAACACTTGGTGCACTACCAGCAGGAGGATGAGGTGATTTGCAACCTGACAGCTTCAGACCTGTGCTTTGCCGCCACTGCCACCTAAAATCAAGGCTGCTTGACCATCTCCTGTTAACTTCTTGAATTTCCAAGCACACGGGTGCCTAGGGGAGCTTTTGGCATTCAGAAAAAAAGAAAAATTAAAAGGAAATGTTTGTTACAAGGTTTGAATGCGAGACAGAGGATTTCTTGATATGAGTTAGACTAGGCTGAGATAAAGTTGAAATAGTTATTATTCCAGAAATTATTAAATACAGCTTGTAGAATATTTACACCTTCCTACTTTCCAACCTCAAGTTCAATGTGCTGGGCTCTTGAGCAAAGAGCACCTTATGGAGAAGAAGCTGGGAGCTGCTGCGTGGAGGAGCAGGCAAAAATAAAGGCAAGGGAGAGAAAGGCAAAGGCAGCACAAGCCCAGCGGCAGCACTAGGGAGCGGGTAGTAGATGCTCACATCGGTGTCTTCCATACCTAAATTTAAAGCCTTCGTAACTCCTGAAATGAAATCTCTTATTAAGGAAGATGAATGCAGCCAATTTTTTTTTTTTTAAAAGGTACTTTATCCACTCCAAGTGGGCCTGACCATCCTTTGGCCGTAGCTATTGCAAACTGGGATAAGCATCAATGTCAGTGCCACTACAAAATGTGAAAGGGAGTCAGTCCCCCAGCCCAACACTGCCCATCCCCTCTGCTGACCCCAGCCCAGCAGCGACCACGGGGTCAGGCAGCTCCGTGGAAGGGGGTGAACGGCAGACTGACCTCAGCACTCATCCCGCTGTAAGAATACGCGCCTGGTAAGACTGTCCACATCTCCTTGTAGACACTTGCACTGCAAAGTTGAAAAAATCCCAGCTAGTTTTCATTCCATGCACTTAAAAATGATGTGGTCACCTCCCTGCAAGGACTAGGCAGGATTTAGTAAGCATCCAGGATTCCTACCTGAGAAACTCTGGAGATGAAAAATAAAACTAGCAAAAGCCCTATTTATAGGCATGAAAAAATAATTAATTCATCCCCTTTTAATTGAAAATGTAAAAAAGGACTTCAGCTTTAAATAAGACATTTTGTACAAAGGTTGAGCACAAAAAAGTGAACAACGACGTGTCATTATGTAAACACCACAAATGTTACTCATTTGTTCAGTAATGCACAGAACAGCGTGCAAGTTCCCTTTCCAGTGGATTAGATTTCTGTAGCTGTTCCCTTCCCTCCCCTCAGACCTTACTGGAACACAGGAAACCCAGCAGCTTTGGAACCTTTACAAAGCTACAGTAGTCAGGATACATTGTGACTAAAGGATTTTTTTTTTTTTCTTTTTCTTTAAGGGATTGGTCATTTAAATATACAGAAGTACAATAATCTCACAGGTAAATGAATGGCAGCTTGGATTAGAAAAAGCACCAAAATATTTAATATACATCTGGCACAAATTCCACAAGAAGTCAGTAATGGACAAACCAATGCTTTGCTTATAAGAAAAGAAAAATCTCAGACTGCACTTAATGCTCTTCTTCCAAAAGGGACACGACAAAAACATTGCACTCAGGATTGCTATCAAGTAAAGACAACCTTCTTATTACAACCTATTTGCATTGTGCCTTAGATTGCACATTCTGTAAGATGCCGTTTCCATTCTGTTCCAGACGACAACGGTGAGCAAAATTTGATATAAGAAAAGTAACTGTAAAACTACAAACCAAATGGGACTCAGTAGATGCATCATCTTGAACTTCTCCCACTTTTCCTCTAGATCATGGTTTCAAATTTGGCCACATCCCTTTAAAAAAAGATCCTACAAGAAACAGAATTTACTCCAGCCATTTTCAAGCATTACATTTACACAGCACTTCTGATACTGCTGTCTGAAAGAGGAAGCACACGTCTGCTCCATGACAAGCAATACATTCATCATTTCCCAGAGCGAGAAAATGGGATCATACACGGATATCTCTTGGGTAAGTCCGAAAAGGCAAAAACCACTCCCGACATGAAGACCGGCAGATTTAATCCTGTCCACCCTTGCTGGTTTACTCAGGAATTGAGTTTGATCAGCTAGTTGTATTCACATGTGATTCAATGAAAGCCGCAGGAAGGTGTGCTCTCATTATTTCCTTAGTTAGAATTAGTTACTTCTCTGGGAGCAGGCACTATCAAAATGCATTCCTTCCATAAAGGGGGACTTGAGCCGAAATTGGGGCCTCAAGATCCACAGGCAAGTACTCTAAGAAATCCAGCTATGTCAACTAGCTCTCCCAGGCTGACCCTTCTCCTCCTGTCAAGGACTTGCGGTTGCTTCATGCCCTCAAGCCCAGACGGTACAAACCCCAATAGCGTTGGGTCAGGACCTAATCCTGCCAGTTGTATCCATGGCTCTTGGAACTCGAGTTACACAACAACTAACAGCACAAGGCCCTCCAACCACTCCTGCCAGCCCATCTCCTTTTCTTAAACACTATTTAAACATATATAAGAAAGCAAGCATATTTTTAAGATAATTATGTTTAGCGTGACTTTAAAAGTCACAACTTCAGAATATTAAGCACTATTCTGTGAAGTCCTCTAACGTATAATACATATGGGAGAATAAAAACAGCAGCCAGCCTTCGGCTCCACTGATTCTCTGTGCGGGTTTGCCACCTCTGGTCACACGATCTCCCCTCTCATGGGCCCAGAGGAGAGCAAGAGTCAGCAGTTGTAACTGCATAAAATGGCAACATTCAAGTAAACACACTGGTTCAACAATAGGCAACCTTTAGTCCAAATATAATTTACCGGGAGGAAAAAAAAAACCAAAACAAACCAAAAACACTTTACAGCAAGAACATTGGAGATGGGTGTTTGTTTCTGTCTGTGTGTGAAATGGCATGTTATCCAGAAAGGGCTTATCTGAAGAGTGCAATTACACAAAGATAGAAGCTCTTTAAAAATAAAATTTAAAAAATTGTATAACCTCCAGAACCTGTTGGATTTTAAAACCTAACTACAGAAAGACTGAGGATTGCAATAGTCGTGAGGAACCACTGTAATGTCAGGGACTTAAGGCAAGCTGTTAGCAGGACTAGTACGTTCATGCTCCCCTTGCCTATGGTCTCACACATCCCCTCCGTTCTCTTGAAATATGTGCCTGTACAGATAGTGCAAGAGGTCACACCCCAAAAGCAGCCCTCAAACTGGAAGAAGAAACTTGTAGCAACAGTTGCTACAGCATAGCCTCTATTTGGTATTTGCAATGACAGTAATTGTGTTGTAGTTTTCTTTGGGGGAAGGAAAGCAAGGGACAGACGTGATGCATGAAAAAGAGGCACCACCTAAATGCAGTAATGAATACAACTGAGCACTGAAGCCGCTCTGGCATCTCCACTACACTTGAGAACGCTCCAGCTTTGCTCAAGCATAAGGGTTTTATCCCGAGCAAGATTCTCACCTCAGGCAGGAAAAGGATGTGTGTAGCCTTTACACTTCTGCAGCTCCCATCTTTACTGGCTGTTACAGGTCCAGTCCAACATGGAACAAAATTTTTAATCACAAGAAAAATACACTCATGGCACTGCATCAGGTGGGTTCCTAAAGTTTTTCAAGGGCAAAAATGAAAACACTGATGGCTCCCTCTTGGGGAGCAGCTGCTCCATCTTCAATTTATTGTCAGTACTTGTAGCCCGATCAGGGAAAAGGACGCGTGATGCTAACAGCCCCTGGGCCACACGCAATGTAGCTCCAGTCAGTCACTCTACTGCACTTCAAAACTAGCACCCGGCAGGACCGACACTTCTGTCTGCAGCTTGGCTTGGCTCCCTTTCAAAGAGTCAATTGCATGCAGATTAAAAGTAGTATACCAACAAGTACAGCAAATAGATAATACTTAACTTGGGTCAATTAAAAAAAAAAATAGATTACTCATCCAGGCATAAAATCCTGGTAGAAAAGGATGGTAACCTTAAACTATTCAAGTCTGAGAACAAGAGGTAGAGATACCTATGTACTTCATGGTGAAAGAGTTACAGCCTTCTGTCTTACAATCTCACGTATTTCACTTCAGTTGACAATATAAAAGCAAAGATTCAATCTTCAATAGTCCAGAGAGAAAATGTTAACACTGGTGGTTTTGTTTGCACACAAAATTTAAGCAGACACTTAGCTTTCAATACTTACTTGAAAAAATATTTATGTTTTGCTGTATATTGAAACACTACCCTGAAGAATTTTGACTTTCAGGTTAAGCATCTTCCTCTTTAATACAAAAGGCTAAATTCACATGCACACATTTTGAGCAGAGCGAGCTCAAGGGAAGAACTACATGCCCAATTTACTGAGGATCTTCCAAAAAAGGATCACACTGCAGAACAGAAGGCTGCAAGATCCAGAAACTCACAATGACTATTATTTTCCGATGAATGGGAATGATGTAACCTCAGCCAACAAATTAAATCATGACTGAGGTGGCTATTAACTATGTGGTGTTTCTTCAACTTTGCTGGGCTTTTTTTGGAAACAAGGCTTAGAACTGTAAGGAAGATACTTATGTTGACAGTGTCATGAAAATATTAAGGTCACTAGTCAGTGCATAGCCATGTCTGGGAACCACGGGCCACAGGCTAGTCCTGGGATCCACGGGTTCTTCAGGCTCTGATGGACATGCAAGGAATGAAACAAAAGTCACACAGACAAAGCTGCTCCTGCCCCCAGCACTCCGAACCCCACACCTGACAGCCACCCTGCCCTCAGGAAGAGGGGCTGCATCTATTTGCAACCAACCCCGACTCAGTCACTCGTCAGCAGAGCAGGGTGCTCTTAAATGCTCTTTCATGCTCTTAAATGTGCTTGGCTGAAAAGCTGCGGTGGTTCAGGGCCTGGTTCATGAGCAGATCTGCCATGCCAGCCTGGGGAAGCCAGCGCTCGGTGGACCGAACTGCCACGGGCTTCAGCTGTCTGATTTTATGCCACCTGCCACACCTTCATTTATTTTTTCCTATGGTTCTTTCATTACAATTGCACAGTATTAAAACGCTAAAATTCTCCACACAGAATAGCATCAGCAGCAAGTAAACTCACAATTAAGTGTTCAATTACAATTAATTTCCTCGGTCATGTTTTATGGCCAGCTATGGGCAGAATCTTTCAAATCCTTACTTGAATCAATAAGTAGTCTTTGACCTCAGAAACACACCTACACAAGGAAAAATTAGCACAACTGAGCCTCCAGTTGATCTGGCAGCCAAATTTTAAAGGTGTTGCAAATTATACTATGGTACAGGTGGTCACTGTTTTATTACTCAGGAGTAAAGTTTACAGTTGTTATTCCTTTGTGTATAAGGGAAGGCAATAAAATGCCACAGTGTGGATGTCAGACCAGTTTTCCAGTATATTACTAAAAACTATCTATATAGTTATCTATAGTTATTTATCCCAAGTTGCAGCAGATTCACTACATGCATAAAGTTTCCTAATGCATACTCTAATTAAAGAAAAAAAATTAAATAGTTGCAATGGTTTCAAGGACTCCATCAGCATCACTGCTCACCACAGTCCTGTGTCACGACAAAGGTTTAAATTATATAAAAGGAAGAGTGAATGTATTTGGCCTGTTCCACAGATATTCACAGTTTAACCATTAAACAAGCATATTTTCAGAGGCTCCAATATTGTTAAAGACTTCTCAGAAACATGTACAAAACCCCACTCCCACACAGGTACGCCAGCATTACAAACTATGGTCTATTCTTATTTAGGATCATAAAAATCACCAGGCAATCCAAGGGAAGGTCTGACACTCTCACTTTCAGCAAAGAGTTGCACCTTCAGCTCCTGGTTCGGGAGTTTAAAACCGATACAGGCCTGGCTTGCGTTCTGTAAATGGTAATTAAAAAATTGAGGTTAGGCTAAAAATAAATGGTACTTTGCTAGACAGATCATTTGGCTATTTTTGCAAGCATTCTACTCAACAGGTTGAGTTGCTCCTGACAGGCTGAAAGCAGCAGAACAAGAGCAAGGCTGTCCTCTCGTACTGAAAGCATGGGACTTAGGCCACTGAGAATTGTATGTCCTTTCCCCAACAGGAAATAAGATTTTTCCCTTCCTATATATTCTCACCACCATCTTTAAAAAGAAGCTGTATTACATTTGATGCCCTAAAATGGGCTAAGCCTTGATGTGCTACAAATTGATTTCCTTACTGCAATCCACATTCAGAGCACAAGATAAACGCTTTCCTTAAAGAGCTCTATCCCTGATCCTTTGGAGTTTGGTGTATAAATCAGTAGCAGCCACTGCTATAACTTTGTGCGCACGTGCATGCACTGGCTATCCATTTCAATAGTTGCGTTTTCACACACTCTGGACATTTTAAATTCCCTTTGGGAAGAAAAAAAAATATGAAATGAGGAACAAATAGTTTAATAGCTGAATGAATGAGTAGTCTCAAACTTATAAATACAGTCTTAATTTACTATCAAATCAGGTCTCCATTTGGAACTTTTGCTAACAAAGTAGTCTCTGTTGGGGAATTTTTTTTCCTTTTTTAAAATAACAGCACCAGCAAAAGTCTCACCATAAATTCAGTTATACCAGCACAAGTGCTTTGGCCTGCTTTGCTTGCCAAATCAGAATAAGGCTTTGCTGCCAAACAGCACTTGTGCCATGGTGGCTTGGAAGGTTATAGTAGCAAGGACAAAGCTTTGGGTATATTTCCCTATAATACAGCAAGTTCAGGGCTCCTCTCCTGCAAAGGGACAGACCCAGCTGCATCTGGAACAAGTACATTTGTTTTCCACAGCTTAACATGTCTCCAAGCAAGAGCTTGCAGAAGCAGCACGGACCAAACTCTCCTTTTATTAGATGAAAGAGATGCTATTTGTGGCTTGTGGGTTTGTTTTAAAACAGTTTTCAATACCCACATTTTGTTAGTGATTTATGACCTCAGACCCAAGCTACTGCATAGGCTGCACACCAGCAAAGCCAGTGACAGAATTCAGGCAGATCCTCCCTCTCTCTCTGCTAACCCCTCTGGGGCACAGCAGATGTGCAAAGCATGCCATCCTGGAGCCACTGACAAGCTCGCCACTTACAATCTGTTTCCCTTTAGCTTTAAAACCCTTATAACACAAAAGCCATTAGATGCTATGGATGACTGTCCAGCTGGGGTTTTTTTTGGCTTTGTTTTGTTTGTTTGTTTTTTTAATTGAAGTCATTTTATGATCCTGAAACGCAGCTCTGAAAATAAAAGGTGTGTAATGGAAGTGTATCAAATTCATTAAGCCAGTACTTAGCTCTATAGAAAGCCTTGGCAATCATCCCTTTTACCAAAAGGTGTAAAAAAGTTGACTTAATAAAATTAAAAAAGGTAGCATCAATAACCCAGAAAGTTTCAACCAGTGTTAATAAAACTCCCTTTAAGTCACAACAGTTTCAACAGGCAAATAGTCCCAATACAGGCATTGTAAAATAATAAATCAACTCCTATCCAAATATTATCAAATCAGTCTAAAAATGACTCATCTACACTGTTGTCATTAAGAACATATTAAGAATTCACTTTGTCATCAGATGCCGATATTGTTGCTCCAGAAAGTGTGGAGTATTAACTGCCATTTAGCAATTAAACATAGGTTTTAAAAAATTGGTTCGTCAATATTAATGCAAAAGATAGTTCCTTACATTGAAGTACTGTGCTTGCCAGACAAGTAAGATAATACTTTAGGTATAAATCAAACAAATTAAAGCAGAATTATACCACAGTTTTCCTTGAAGACTTAGGGTTTGTGTGTTGCTTCTCTCAATGTTTAGCAAACTTAAGAAGCAGAACCTTTGGTTCTTTTAGTCAAGTAAAAATATTCTCATGTAACCACAAAAATACAACTTCCAGAGAAAATGGAAGTCCATCAAGAAGTCCACTTTCAATAAAACTGAGGTAGCACTGCTCTTCTATTACGTGGTGTGTAAGAGATTTAGATACAAATCGTCATCTACCACTCAGTTGACTGACAGGTACAGTAATTTTATAAAACAGTCCCAACATTTAGTTTGAAACTCCAAAAAAAGGAATGATCTGGACTCATTCACTAAGAGCTCTCTTAAAATGGGAATTAGCCATATTACAAAAAGCTGTTGCTTATGTTGTTTTTTAGAGCCTTATTACCGGGGGATTAATGCATTTATAGTTAACAGTTAACACTGCTGTTCATCTTGGTATAAAACCTTAAAATTATTACAGCCTAAAATTTCAACAATGTAAACAGCACTACACACAGTACAGACCTGCCCTGACAGATGTAGTACGAAAAACTTAATCTGGCACTGTATAATTTAGCAATGTTAATTTAACCTAACTAAAAAGATCTACATTGTGCAAGAAATATCAGACTTACTTATACTAATCTGAAGTCTTAAAAAAAAAAACCAAAAACAAAAACAACCCAAAAACGCTTAACTTGTAGCCAGGGTCAAATATTTCAGGGCAAGAGTAAAAGGAATAACCAAAATTAAGAAAGTGCCTAAAACATGATACAGCATTTTAGAGCCCTTTCAAAGACAAGGCAGAAAAAGGTGTAAAGTAGAAAAATCTGGAGCCTTGGTAATTTCCAGAAACATCCAGAGTTTACATTTCGTGAAGGGCAACAGGTTGTTTTTGTCACTGCTGCTTCAACATCGCTAAGTCTGTTCCTCCACACACAGGCCCTCTGTGTCCGAAGACGTAATACATTTGGTTTCCTCTTCCTTTTTCCTTCGCTCCACTTCCCACTCCACAAAGGTATCGAAGAGACTCGGCCAGGCCTCGTCCTCGCTGTAGTTGCTAAGGTCTGGTCCAATCACCTGAGTAAAATTTAGAAACATGTTCCACGTGTCCCGGGAGATTCCCTTGATTCCTGAGGGGTTCTCGATTAGGAAGTGTAACCACTGGTCCAAAATGGGGGGCTTGTTTTGGGTGAAGACTAATTTCCAAAGGGCAATGGCTATTTCCCGATGTAACGACCTCTGTCCTTCTTCAGAGTCCAGGCCAAACTGGAAGGTGAAACGATAGAGATCCTTGAATTTATCTTCCTGCTTGGCTTCATTTAAAAGGCTGGGGAACCTTGCACAAATGCCATCAATGCTGTCTGCGTTTATTGCTTTGCAGCCTTCAAAAAACTCCTTCCTATTAAGCAAGAGAAGAGAAATTAGTGCGAGCACTTCCCATTGACCTCACAAGCTGAACGCTTCCCATCTCCGTTCAGCTACGTCAAATTGGAAGAGTTATCTGGACAAGACAAGGTGTACTGTCAGCCCAGGTGCCACAAAGATTTTGGCAACAGGAGCTACTGGAAAGAGAGATGTTTCCAAGAAGCTCCTCGTGGTCTGGGGAACCACACCCCATCCTCAGATCTGCTGGGGCACTGTTAGCATTTGAAAGATTTCACTGTCTGGCTTTCTGACTACTCGATACTACCACATCCAGTGCATTTCACATTAAAAAGCGAGTAAAATTTACCACAGAAGAAATGCCAAATGTTTGAAAATACCACATTTATGCACTGAAGCGCCATACATAAACCAGTTTGATTCAATATTGCCCATGTCTAAACGCCCATGCTCTGGGCCAGCTGTTCTCAAGGGACAGAGCAGTTCACCGCTGGCTCTCCTGTGGTTGGTTTTTGGTTGCTCTTCCAGCCTGCAAAATAAAGAAGGTGCCAACGGTGACGGTCAGCAAGGCACCTGCCGAGAGAGTGGAAGAAAGCAGGGCATCACACAACACAGGCCACAATGCAATATATAAACGCCGCTCGAAGCACCAGTGCAATACTAATTAGCCTAGTAATAATCTGGCCAAGTGAGTAGATGGTTAGCTCTGATTTCTCTAATGCTCATGAGCAAGTGTTATAACCAGCCAATATTAACCAAAGCCAGCAGACTCTGACGCGGGACAGGCTGGAGGGAAGACAGGAGATGGGGCAGTGCACAGGAGAACAGAAGACCGCGTTGCTTTCCTTGATGGAAGAAGTCAATCAGCACTCACATCATGGAGTGTGCCCTTAAAACAAAGGTAACCTCTCACCACTACATTTACCCTCTCCAAGAAAAATCAAAATGACGTTAATAAAACTCATGGCGGTTGTGCACAATCACAGACACTACTTGCAATTCCTTTACCATGTTAGCAAATACCTGTGCTGTCAGCCTCCAATAAATCCACATTTGCATTCCAGAGTAACTCATCCATTTGACAAACACCCAATGCACAAAGACTCTGAAGATGCTGGAAAAGCTATCTGTGTTCAGTGCACAGCAGAAGCTTGGTTCAAGGCTAAGAACACCAAAGTAATTTTGAGAGTTATAAGCCAAGTAAAAATAGGTAGCATTACTCAAAACAATCTAGATAGACCAAAAAATGAAAAAAAATCATACTCTCAGCAAGTCCCTGTAGGAAGTCTTTACTTGCTCTTACCTGGACCTTGACAATCAAGTTGGGGAGGGGGCTGTTGTAGTTTTGAGTTTGGTTTTGGGTTTTTTGTTTGGTGGTTTGTTTGGGTTTTTTTCTGGTAAGTTTTAGCTGTTCTGTTGTTTCCTGAAGCACCACACGTGCTATAAGCCTGCTGACTGACCCTCTTGTCCAGAAGGACAGACAGCACTTTAAATACCAATCACTCATCAGCCAGTATGGAACAGTTACCAGTGTCAAAAATCTTGCGTTTCATTCCCTCTCTATGCTTTAACAGCATTACTCTCGGAAAAGGACATGAAGTGTAACACTGGTTGGGCAGGAACAATTCTTAGGAAGCTGTCATTCTTTCACAGAATAACAGAGTTGGTAGCAATTACTAAGGAATCTCAGATTACTTTAAAGCAAAAATTAATTTCAGTGTCCAATCTCATCACCAAGATAATGCTGGATACAGTGAAACTGCTTTTGGTAAATCAAGAATAAATGAACGTCTACAGAATCTCATTACGTTGCTCATCAATAGCAACGTAACGTCCAAAACCACATTTTCAGATCTGAAATCCAATGTGAGCGGAAGGAGAAAAGAGGACAATACAAAGCTTACCTTCTGCAGTGGTAGGAATTAATTTGATCAAAATGCAAGTGTTAGAAGAAATAAGTAATAAGTGTAAGAAGAGAAAGTAAGCTATTGAGGCTGCCTCTCCAACACACAGATGACAGGATATACTTTAACATATGAAAATAATTACAAGTTCTACAAGAACTAACCTTGTAAATTTGCACATGGTAGCAGCCTGGAATTTCCAAGCCAAAACTAGCACTTTAAATTCAGTGGGATCAACACAGAGGTCATTGCAAAATCGTTCCATTCCTTCTTCCAGTATGGCATCTTCCCGTTCATCCTTATACCTCCTAAATAACTCCCCGATCCTTTGGAGCGAAGATTCTTCTGTGCTGGAAACAGAGTCTTTCTTTGTATCTCCAGAAAACGTTGGAGGCTGACTGGACTCTACAGCAGCATCTGTTTTCTTTGTCCCATTCACAAGAATATCTCCTGAAGACTTCCCACAAGCTGAACCATGGTCGTCTTTGTGGACTGCACTTCTCTTACTATGTGACTTGCTGCCGGAGTCCCTTTCCCCATTTTTGCTGCCAAGGGTAGAAGAAGGATTCTTGCACTTCGTGACACACTGGCCCATGATGTTGCAAGTCCAGCTTCTAGAGCGGTCCCCTTGCCGTCGGACACCCTCGCAGCTGCTCTTCAACAGATCTCACCATGCCATTAGCGGCAGTCAATTAACCTGAAAAGCAGTTTCAGAGTTTCAGTTTTTCCACAAAGAATATTGTAAGTATTAAATGTGGGATAACATTCACCAGTAAGAGACCAACTTCAGGATATTTAAGTTTTGCGTACTGAAAAGGACTAGTGTACAGAAGGCTGGCATGTGCCATAAATTTCAGGCAATTTCAGGTTGTTTTACCTAGAAATCAATGCAGCTCACTCAGTGGCTGCAGTATACTAACGGGTCCTAATAAAGGAAATTCCTAAAATTCTTACTGTAACATAGGTTACAAAGAGGTTGATTCATGTACAGGCTTCATCAAGACAGACTACTCTAACCCAGAAATATTTTAAAGGAAATGGTTTTTAAAAGTATACCCACATTTTATAAATAGAATATAAAACACTGAAACAAAGCGGGGTACGGGGGTGGGGATAGGGACACTGGCAGAGACTTGAGCACCAGATTTAGACTGTACCTTCACCAAATGGGCAAAAGGGGGTTTTGCAGAGTTTGTCGTTTTTTGTTTGGGTTTTGGTTTGTTTTGCGGAAGGGGGTGGGGAGTTATGGGTTTGTTTTTTTTAAACAGAGTTTGGAACCTAGATTTCTGTTCTTAAAACATACACAGAGCATGTTTGCAGAAAGGAGGCAAGACTAATTTTTCATGCAAGATGGTGTTGAAGAATTATTCATTGTTTCAAGTGGGCTCCTCCCTTCAGGTAACGAGACAGACAGGGGAAGGGGGCCTTTATAGTGAAACTTTTTCAGACATACATGCAGATAAGAAGTAGTAATTCCAGTTCAGTTTTTTAAAAAAAATCAAAATTAAAATGCCAAAATGATTTCATCATACTCTGTTTTTACAAATCACAATGTTAAAAATGTTTGGAAAAGATATTTCATCTGCAGAAAAGGTTTCTTAAATTTTCCCCATTAAAACCAAACTAACACTCTGACACTACCCTATCAGCATGCAGCCACACCATGGACAGTCCACTTCTCAGAAACATCAACTCCAAGAAAGCAATTGCTTATCATATTCCTCCTTTACCCACTTATTTGCATTTCATCTTTGCTGTCAGTTAGGCAAAAGCCTCAAACATATAAATTGGGTTTGCCTTGTCTTTGTTTACTGCTTCCAGGTTACAGAATTACAACAAGAAAGAAAAAAGACAGAAATTTAAAATTAGGAAATAAAATAGATGTCACATCAGTTTTTCTGGATTCTTTCTTGGGTAAAGCTCTTCCTAAACCAAACCTCTGGTTTAAGCTGTAAACCAACTTGGAACAGCAGCATCAAGTGCAGATGAATTCTCCAGATATTACGCTTAAAAAACCAAATCTTCTCTCAGCCATTATACCTGTTTTGGCAAAACAGCATGTATGCAGTTTCATGAGAAAAAAAAAAATTAAATATTTTTGCCAGTACAACTACAACAGTCAAGATGCTGGTTTCATCTACCTGGCTTCCCTTCCCCTCCCCAATCCATTTTCTTAAGCCCATAACCCACAAACAAAACTAACACGAACCTATTTTTAAGCAGCAGAAGGAACAAACATCTGGTACGTCCTTCCATGAAGCTGCTTTAAAGATCAACTTTGTGGCATCATTTTTATAGGCAAGTAAAATTCAATTTCACATATTCAAGCATAATTTCTTATTCAATTGTATTTTAAAGGATTCATTAAAATATGCATTTCCACATGAACAATCCAAAAGACAATTTCACTGGTCCTTAGTAGTTCACAGCTCTTTGTGAATTGCAGAGTACAGCCTGGCACCGGTTCCTGTGCTGCCATGCATCTGAGCAACATTGTCTTCTCTAGTCTACACCAGTCATTTTTTCATTACACCAAAACAAACAGGCTATTATTAGGCAGTATAAATTACTGTTTAGTGATCAACTCTCAGATACTAGCCTTCCTTTCCCCCTCCTCCCTTCAAATTAATCAGATTTCAAATGCTCTCAGTCTACACTAATTCTTTTTCTTCCATCAGTCTCTCAAAGGCAACTAGCACTACTTTGGCTAAGTTTTTCTTTACAGAGACGCATGCAAGTAAAGGAACAAAACAAAAAAATCCCAGGTAAAAACTAGTATTAAAGTACAGTTTCGCTAGTTTATAAAACTTTCTGCTCAAACACATAACAGCTGTTGGGGATTCGGAACAGCTTTTCTCTATGGGCAGGTTAAAGAAGAGCTGCCTATTAGCGAATGGTACTTTCCTCTAAAGTAGCTGGTAGTAGTCAAATCACATGCAGCATAATGGACAGAGATGAATCCAACTCACTTTAGGAATCCCAAGATAAAGGTTTTTTTAAAAAAAGAGACAGTTTGCAAGACTAACTTACACACACTGTCCATAAATTTTCCTAATGGAAGTGATTCATGCTGCCATGCTTCCTAAGCAAGGGCTTGTATTTATGATGATAATAATCTAATATTCAAGTCTACAGTAAAGTGGCATCACCAGTCTGATGAAACAGACAGGGTTTATTGTCATTTGCTGTTGTGAAATGACAGCATTACAATACACAGAGGGAAGGCCAGCCAGCATTATTAAACACCTGTACGTGAGGAAGTGTCCTAACAGCTGTTTCCAAAAACCACTGGAGAGCCCAGTAACATTAACCCACAGAGTGCAAGTTAACCACATCCCCCGCAGCATATCCCTCCAACAAATGCATTTTCTGTACTCCAACCTACTTGCCTTACAAGGAGCTGATGGCTGCTCCTGAATAGCCACTGCCTGGGCTCTGCCAGCACTGCTCTTCCCTGTAAAAATGGAGTTCTTCCTTCCTTCTCCCTGCCGAGAAGGTTTTCAAAGCACAATCCTACTTGTTATGAGCAAACTCTAGAAGACACTGAAGTACAGTTGTTGCAATTCCTCACTTTTCTACTACATGAAACTTGATGCCATGTGCCAGATACTTTGAAGCATTCTACCCCAAAAATAGCAAAACCAGCTTTAAAAAAAAAAAAAAAAAGTCAGACTGCATCCACTGGCAGTTTGTGCGTGTATCTGGTTTTGTAAGAGAAAAGTCTTCTGGCGCTCCATCAGTTACCCTTTTATAAAATGTCTTCACTGAGCTGGATCCACTTCACTTACTAGTCACCTCCGCTTCCTACATGACTCAGGTTTCAAGGCACGAAAGGAACAAGAGCCTCGGAAGGAGACAGAAACAAGTGGGAGAACTCGGCCCTTTTGTTAAGGAAGGCTGGAGAGAGGATCCAATTGCAGCATCAGGAGCTGCACTGAACTCTGTTCAAGGGGTATGAAAAAGCACTCTCAGGAAAGTGAACAGAGCCACTCATTTAAATGTAGAGCAAAGCAAATGTCATGTCTAGGTCATGCCGATTACAGTTAAGAGAGCACAGGGATGTGCAGAGGCATTTCTCCCAGCTGGAGCAGGAACTACAAGTATAAAGTTCTCATGTACTCAATGGTTATACTGGATGGGTGGCAAAGAACCAATTCCCAAAAGGAGCGGTTCCCAAGAGCAAAATTACTGTAACAGGCTTGTATGATACAATAGTGAGACACAAAAGGCAGTGCTGACCACTAGTTTTGCCATTCTACTAAAAAAGATCAAAATTCAGGGCTAAGGTTGGAATGTACTCAGCACTACAGGATGCAGTACTCCCAAAGAAGTTTGATTACTCAGACAAGTATTGAGTAATAACCTACAGTAAATATGAATCACCAAGATGCCCATGAGGCCATCTTCCACATAACAGGAACTGCAAAGCAGAGATCAACAATGATGTTCTCTGCTCCTTTCTAGAAGGCAGCAAGCAACTGGAAACACACAAAGACTAGTGCTAGTGAGTAGAGGGTGGCTTTCCTTTAGCTGGCTGTAAAAACAAAGGGTGTGTAGAACCATATTGCCCAATACATTAAACAGAAAACCTAGCAAAGATTGGAAAGACCTTGCTAATGCTTGGTGGGGATTTGGGAGGGGGTTTTGGTTTGTTTTGGGGTTTTTTTTAAGTGCTGTAAGAAAAGTAGGTTTTCTCCATTTTCAAGTGACCAGATCACACGTAACCCAAGATTTGAAGGGAGCAAAACAACGAAGTGACTCAGCAATAATTGTCTGTCATACAAGCACACCATGGCACAATTGAAAATGGCAGCACTGAAGTGGGGGAGAGCTGGCAGGAGGAGAGAAGATGTAAAGGGGATATTTAAGTAACCTTGTATTTTTCTTTAATGATCAATGTTATTGTAGTAATAGAAATTATTGGATACATCCAGAAAATAACAAAACACAGCCAAGCATTATGCTGTTTAATAAAAGCATTGCATCAGAAGGTATTCACAATGAGTTTCAAAACACAGAAAGTATCAAGAAAGAAGAGGAAAAAAAAACCCTTCATACCTTCAAGAACACCTCAAAGACAAATTTAGGAAATCTCATAACAAAAATGGGATACAGCTCAGTCAACCATTAAATCCCTTCCCAAGCAGCAGTTCACTAGCTAAGGTAAAGACAACATTGCTAGAACTTAACTAAACCTCAACCCAGCCTCAACTTTTTGCAAACACTTCAGCATAGTCTGTAAGAATTTTACAGAACTTCACTATGCATGATCCACCTGTTAGTGGACAGGGACACATGACTTATAGCAGCTGAGAGCAGCAAACAGTATCATGGGTCCCCCTCTCTTTTTCCAGCTCTGAACAGATACACATGGCTTTCCATTGGGGAGGCATGAGAGAATCTACCAGAAACAATCACCAAATCAAACAACAGTTGATGCTGGGCAAGTGATCTTGTAAACAAACATCTAACACTTACATAGTTTCAGCTACACAGGGAATCATTCCACTAGCTTCACAGCCTCCTTCAGGCTCCCTGGGTTTCACATGGAACGCTGTAAGACAAAAGACCACACAAATCTTTACATTTATAAGA